GTTATATTATCTTTTTATTGTATGCTGTGTCATGTTTTATTACCGTATATACTCGAGTATAAGCCGAGTTTTTCAGCCCATTTTTTTTGCTGAAAAGTGCCCCCCTCGGCTTATATTCGGGACGGCTTATACTCGAGTATATATTATCTCATTACTGAATGCGGGACCATGTTTTGTAATATATTATTTTATAACTGGATGTAGGGTTATGTTTTGTCATAAATTACCTTATTAGTGAATGTACGGTCATGTTTTCTGATAGATTCTATTTCTATTGAATGTATGGTAATGTTTTTTCAGTACTAAAAACCCCGGGCCCCAGGATGTTGCCGTCAATAATTCTACCTATAGGACTATGCATGCCTCAACTTTACTACCATACAGCAATTTGGCAGTAAAGCTGCAGCAGGTATGGTATACTGTTTGTGGTTGAAAGCTAAGCAGCAAGTAGCATTGTTACAATCTCACCACCACCAAACACTCATCACTGTAAGGCACACACCTTACAACCAAGACTTTTGTCTTGCGATGGTTGCAAGGTACTTAAAAAAACATACGATCTGCCTATCTTGGACAGGCAGATCATATTTGATCCCCCCCTGAGGGGCAGGCGTCCGATGACCGCAATGCCGAACGAGCAGTGTGCGCTTGCGCAAACCGGCCCATCCGGCTTTTATCGTACGAACATGCTACACACCCGCCGAACATCGTACGATGCTCGGCGGGTTTTCGAACATGTTCGTAAGTTAAAAGTCGTGCGACCTTACAGTAGTAGAGGTTGCACGGCTTCCACACACCTTAAGATAATCGTACGATCGCGGGATTTCCCGAGATTATCGTACGATTATCGCAAGGTGTGTGGGGACCTTCAGACTATAAGGTCCCTTTCACATGTGCTGATCAGGAGCAGATCAGTGCACAGATCTCCTCCTGATCGTAGTGGTATAGATCACCATTGTGACATCCGTCCAGTTTTCTCCTCCGTCTTGCGTCAGAAAACTGAAATGACTGAACACCATGTCGGACTTGTGTCTGTTTCCATCAGACTACCCTCGATCCAGCACAATCAGGTCCTTCAAAACGGAACACGGTTTCCTTTATTTTTCCGAACCTGGACGGAGTTGGGGGTAACCAGGTGTGAATGAACACCTGCACGTTTAGACCCAGCTGCCCATAAACTTACATTGGGCAACCAATCAGGTCCACCTGAAAAGTAACAGTGTGAAAGTGACCTAGGACTACATTTACACCAGAATGCATGTATAGACACAAATAGCATTGACAAGTATTTTGAATTTTACTTAACACACTACAGCACAGCGCAAATCTTTGGACTTTTTTTGTCTTTGTTAAGGAAGTACTTCCATTTCCACACGCCTCTTACTGTATGTATCGGGTAATTGCTTGTGGGCTGTTTATTGTCTAAACTTTGTTTTTTCTTTTTAATAAGAACCACTATTATATTTGGCTCCTCACATAGTCCAATCAGAGAAAGGTTGAGGAGAATTTTTAATAGGCAACACTATACAATTTATTTCTCACAAAACCCCTTCAGTTAACATCAGATGGAAGCTAACAATATTTTAAGAAGCAATAATATGTTAGAATCTTTGTGAATTGGCCTTTCCATGTAAAGCAGCAGAAGAATTGATAATATTATGTGCATGCGGTAAAATAAGGTGATTCGTGCAACAAAGCCTTAACTGGATAAGACCATTTTTAATCATGAAAATAGCATGTAATCCACTTGGTTAAGGAAACTACTACAAGGGAATCAAAACTGGAGCAGACAAAAACTGGAGCAATTGCCCATGGCAACCTATCAGCTTCTCTCTTCAGTTTGTTAAATTTTAAAAATGAAAGAGAGAAGCTGATTGGTTGCCATGCACTTCTGCACCAGATTTTGTCTGCTCCAGTTTTGATAAATTCCCCCCTTCATGTATTATCCATTGTGAATTGACCCAGTTTTTTTTTATAAAAATGAAATTGGAAGAGATGGTAAGTTAAGTTAGGAATGCCATCTCCCTAAAAAGATAGTAACATGGCAATTTACAAAAATGTAAGTTGTAAAAAACAATTTTTAGCTGTATTTATGTCGACCCAGTTCTGAGATTTACAAAACCCGATCAGACAGCACAACCAGCCTGGTAACCTCACTTTTCTCTACTACAGTTTAAGCAACACAGTAAGGCCACCTTTCTACACCTAGCCCCCAATATGATAGCGAGGGGGCAGCAACAGACTGATGAGGTCATCCCCGTTCTTTCAGCATGTTCCTTGATAGTACATGTGCAGAACTTCTGATTGTTCTTTATTGTTTTTAATAATTTCACTCTTTCTACAAAAAAGTTCCTTTCCTTCCAAAGAATTTGTCCTATGGTAGTGCCTCTTCCTTGTTGGCTGGGATATCCAGTGCTGCACTGTTTCTATTACAGCCAATGTTTTTAGAGTCTCTACTAAGGAAAGCTACAGAGTGGGAATTGGTGAACTTGTTAGTTGTAATCAGGACATTTTCCTGCTTGTAGGTAATACGCTGAATGGAGGTGTAAGCAACAGACCACTACAAATAAAAATAACTAATAATACCCATAAAAAACAAGGAGTGTCTCAGCATATTTTACTGTTTGTAAATTACCATGTATTTTACCTGCATGGCTAGCAGGGCTATTCATTCAAGGGTGAAGCGTTTGGAGAAGGCAGAAGTAAAACAAATCCAGGCCAAAATATATGATTTGGAAAAATTCTCTAATTTAGCTCACTTTCCAGTTCAGCTTTGTTGTCCTAGATTGTTCACTTCTCCTGCCTTCTCCAAACTCTTCACCCTTTAGTGAATAGCCCTGTATGTGTTTCTTTACTGTTGTGAACAGCAATGTTGGAGTAATTAGCTCAACACTTACTCTTTAGTTCAATGTCCAAAAGAGTCGCACTTCATGGATCTCCAACTATAGCTAAAACCTTATTGAAATCCACAAATGGGTATACACTATCACTGCATCCCCATTACATAGAAAATCATCTAACACCTTTCACCGATATGGCTTAGTGATAGTTACCTCTGTGACTAAGCCATATCAGTGAAACACATTAGGGGATTTTCTATGTATTGGGGGATGCGCTGATGGTGTGTGGCTCTTTTGGACATTGTAGTGATTTGGAGGTGAGCACGCACCTGTTTAGCCTGCACCTGTGGCACCTGTAGAATCGCAGTGATGAAATTTCTTTGTCTTCTACCTACTCTTTAGTTGTTTATATTTAGAATTGCTGGCATTTAATTATGACTTGGTTTTACTGATACAAAACTACTCTGGGCAGAAAGGTCTATCAAAAAAATAATTTCTGCAGAATAACTTGAACTAAACCCAACACAAGGTCTACTAACATGTTTTTAGCTTATCCCCATCAGGTACATGTATTTAAAAAAAAAATCATATATACTTAGATATTCGGCATGAGAGTTACCTTACTATGGCAAGGACATGAAAAGCACAAATGTGTGGAATGTAGGATGGCAAGTAAAAATAATCAACCAGTTTATAAATGTTTAACTCCACCCATAAGAGACAGAGGGGTTCATTTAATAAACAGACTGTTCACTTTGCAAGAGCATGTTCTCATTAGGTTAGTGAATGAGTTGGGGCTTTGCTGACTTTCAACATTCAAACATGCGCAAGCAAAAATACTGTCTTTTCACAAAGCCGTGGGTAAATTTCCTTGCAAAATGACCAGCCTATTTGACTTGAGTAAATCAACCACAGTGTTTCAGATTGTTTGGTTTTATTTGGGCAATGAAGATGACCCCATAACACATACTTATTAAATACGTCATTACAAAATAGTAAATAGCAGAGCGCAACAACCAATTACAAATCAATGAGATTTATGTTTACCATTAGAAAATGAAAGTCTCAGTAGCTACTGTTTACTGCACTTCGCCTTACTATCCACACTGGTTCATTCCTACTTTTTCCATATTTTTAATTTCTAAGCTGTATATCATTAGAAGAGTACTAACACATCTCAAAATGTTACATTTAAACTAATGTGTCATTTTCTTAAGCAAATAAAACAAAATAAGCTAAGAGCATAAACCTTTGCAGTACTGCCCCTCTAAAAATACAATTCCATATCAAACTTATGTGCAGAATTTTGGCGCCTTATCTTTACATTTGTAGGACATTATTATTATTCTTAAAATAAATACAGCACCCAGTAAGATAAAAGTTTTCAGTGCTCTTCAGAAATAAAAGCAAACAGTATAGTACCACAACACAACAAAAAAAATGGGGAAAAAAAGTAAAAATGTTAAATGAAGAATTTTTATGTGAAATGTCTGTAGAAAAAATTGAGTGCTTAATATCTTAGACTGACCATCGCTGTATCCGTAGTGCTTTGGGCAAGGAAATTATTTATAAATCACCACTTTTATATGATATGCTAATTCAAACATATAAAACTGGCATCAAACTTTGCTCCAATTTCGTCAACAAGAAAAAGGCTAGTAAAAAAAAAAAGCAAACCGCTTCAAATATCAAATTTATTTTTAAAAATGGTTAAGTTTACTTTGGTGAAAAATGATTTCTTTTAAGTGCTTAGTCACGAAGGGTATTTTATATTAAACAAAAATTTGATAATTATTATCAAACCCTTAAAGGGAAACCGTCCGCATAGAAATATGGAAGATGCCATTGCTGACTTGGTTTTAAAGGGGCAAGCATGTCATCTTTATGTTTTACTATGCAGTGATGCAATGACCTGGAACAAATATGCAGGTCGACAGTCCCAACTTCACTGATTTAATCCTTGTAGTAGATCATTGACAATCTAGGCCAGTGGTGGCGAACCTTGGCACTCCAGCTGTGCCAAAACTACAAATCCCAACATGGATCTGCCTCTGGGAGTTATGTCTGTGGCTGTCAGAGCCTTGCAATGCCTCATGGGAGTTGTAGTTCCAAAACAGCTGGGGTGCCAAGGTTCGCCACCACTGATCTAGGCAGTAAAGCAAGGTTGAGATGACCACCCCGGAACTTGTACCAATATAAACAAGTCATCAATAACAGCCCTCATATTCCTAGCAGCACGGGTTCACTTTAACCAAGAAAGAAATAAAATACACTATGCTGGCATAAATTTACATTCATCCGTCAAATTTCCATTTTACATTCCCCTATCCATCAGGGGAAACCTAAATACTATTTACAAAAGTTTTCATAACACAATACAAAGAAAAAAAGCTGCAACTTTTTTTTTTTAATTAGAAAAGAAGTTTGTTTTCACAGAATATTTCCTATAAAAGATATGTAACAAAGTAGTAATACCTATAAAATGGCTATTACTAAAACAAAGCTTTTGTCAATAAGCCTCTAGTACTTTGAATGAGGAGAATGGCTTCACAAAATGGTAGTCTAAATTCCCACAGTGTGGACACTGTTGAACGTTGCTATACTCAGAAAAATACTGCATCCCGATGCGTACATCAATGACGGGTTTTCCACAGTGCTTGCAATTCAGTCGGGCCTGTGACAAACAGCAAAACATTAGAAGAAAGAATGATGATCCCTTTTATGAAATCTATTAACATACATTTAATACCAAGCACTAACAAAAATTAATTCACAACTAGTCAGTTCAGAGTATATCTAAACCCAGCACCAGACATATAGTATATTGCAGCTTACTAGTCTTTAGATGTGAAGGCTGCATTAGTTTAAATTTTTCAGGCCAAGTATATTTTGTGTAAACACAGAAAAACACCACTAGATCTTGCCAGAAATCCCATGTCCTTGTAACGTACTGTGCACTTAACTAAAATCTCAAATAATATTATCAGCTCTTACCTTTTTTCTATTGAGAGCTACAGATCACCTCTGTCATATGTAATGGATATTAGGTGAGGGGGTGCTCTGTAGTCCAATTAAAAACAAACAAATGCAGCTAAATACTAAAACTACATTTAAACATATTTTATATATTATATTTTTGTTTTTGGGTTTAGATACACTTTAATGGATAAGTGGAAAGAAATTGATAAAAAGGCTTTACATGTTGGTTCTCTCAGTGCTGCATTCTTAGCCTATGTGTTCCCACGCCTGTGGATTTGCTGGCAGATGTAAAATGACATACTATAAACCATTGGTGATGGTGACCCATGGTATTACCTTCATTAAATCAGATATACATACATTACTGCAGTTATATGGCTTTCTTGTAGTCATGTTCACAACATGGTTAACAGAAGTAGCCATAAAGCTGCACGCATTTCTGCTCATGGCTGTATATATTTGCATGTCTTCAAAAGTAGGGATGCACCAATACTGGAATCCTAGCGGCGGGTCATGATGTTCCGCCTGGCTTCCTGATTGGTCAGGAAGCCATGCTGCCAAGCAACAAGTGCAGCTGGCTTCCTAGTGGGTCATGACATGATTTCTGGCTACATAAATGGTCATGATGCCAAGCTGTCTCGGAACGTGAAGGCGTTGTTCTTTTGATAGAACAACGGCTTCCCAAGCAATCAGGAAGCCGGGCCTATGGAACCCCAGCATGCCAGTATCTGTATTCAGTATCCAAAAAAAAATATTGGTACATTTACTCGATACCAAAAAAACGGTATTGGTGCATCCCTGGTATAAACCATTTTAAAATAAAATAATAATTTTATAAGGACCACTAGACAAAAAAATTTTATATTAAAAACTGTATGTGGTTTTCTTAAAATAATATTAAAAAATAAAAAAAAAAGTAAAGAAATACTTATCACCTTTACAGTTCTGGTAAAAAGTGTTTCTCTCCCGGCCGGGATGTGTACTCATCGGCCCAAGCATCTCCATCCGGTAACGAAGGGAAGGGAGAGGAGTCCAGGGATGTCACAGACATCGACGTCACGGACTCCTCCCCCCTTCCCTTCATTAGCCGACAGCCACTTGGGGAAGGGGGAGGAGTCCGGTGACGTCGATGTCTGTGACGTCACCGGATCTCCGACGGAAGACCCAGAAGCCGGCGGAGAGGTGAGTACGGATCAAAAGTACTTTGATCGATCAAAATTATTTTGATAGATCAAAAAAATTAACGATTAATCGTTAATTTCCGCAGCCCTACTTTACAGGTATTCTTTATAGCTAAAGTAGAATCATTGAATCCACTTTCTGTGAGCCCAGGCGGTTATGGTCACATCATCATGCAGCTTGGACTCACAGAACAGAAAATTGCTGCAGAGTATAGTGCTTACATTTTGACATTGTCACAATTTTAAGCACTAGGTATGCTCCCCAAAAAAAAAAAAAAAAGGAGACAGAGAGAGAAGCCATAAAATAGAGTACCATGCTTGTCACGTGACCAGCTGGAACTCTTGCCAAGTAAATGAGCGGAAAAATATAAACAAAGCGGTGCAACAACAGTTAATATTTGTGATATATTAATATTTAATTATATATTTTAAGGACCACTGTCATTAAAAATAGTTATTAAAATGAACTGTTTTTAATGACAGTGGTCCTTTATATATATAATTGCTTTATTCCTATTAATGTGGAGGGTCACAGCGAACCTGCTCATAATGACAGGTCATCAGTAACTTTTGTATGTATACCAATGTGCAGAGGTTCCCACATTTCCCCAGCCACTAACTAGCCCTGGGAGCCCAAATGTACAACTGACATCAATAGTAATACCATTTTCTATTGTTATTTTAAAATTAATACTAATTCATACAGTCACCAAGATGAATGAGTTTAAATCCATTTCCCATAAATACCTGATGGCAAAGCAAACCACAAGCAAAGAAAAGCAAACATTTGTTCTGCACAGAACTATTAAAATCATACCTGACAGCATGGGGAGGCTGCCAATATATCATACGTGTACATCGTTCCCAACTGATGCCAGCTTCCATCCCATCGAGATTTGCATTTTATGCAGATAATTTTGTGAACCCCTTCTAAACAGTCCACGCATACAGCATACAAGTGCATAAGCCTTCCTAAGGTGGAAAAAAAAGTAAAACATTTGAATATTTCATCTGCACCTTAAAGAGGGAGTGTAGGCAAACATAAATAGAGCAATGATGTAAGAAAAAACATAAGAAAGGATATTTAAAACAGTATCTCAATGATTTTACACTAGCCTCCTGCAACCCCTCAATATCAGCATTAAGGCTAGGAAAAAAGAAGAAGGAAGCAGCACTGTAAGCTAATCGGGCTTTACTGAATTGGAAACTATTGTGACTCTATTATATGGAGTTTGCTGTGTGAAGGAAAGAGCAAAGAGATAGCCTTTTCACTAATTCACTGTTCTTATATCCTCGAAACATAGCCTAACAGTGACAGGCAGTAACTAGACATATAAGACAGTCTACACATATTGTATGTCTTTAAACTATTACAGGTTGTCTATACTTGGGGCTAGTGGTGCGGGCAGCCTAAGAGGGTGTGGGGGGAAGATGGCAGCATGGGAGACTCAGTGACATGTGTTGCATTTAGTCAGCCCATTAATTAAAATGGGCAGGCAATACAGCACATCAAAGTAAAAACTGAATTGTATTTCCAATGCAGTGCAACACAATGCACAGTAATACATTGGCATGTGATGTGTGCCTCTAACTAGTGCATTAGGGTGTCATTCAAAGTGAATGTCACCGTAACAAATCAGGATACACGAGATACTACAAAGCATAGGTATGAAGCTAATCTTGCACTTGCAGGATTCATATTGGAGTATCCAAGCAAGCAGTCCTAACAAAATTAGACTCTGAGGTAATGGTGGCTGAGCAACTGTAGATACAAATTTATTTGATTCACTCTTGAACACAATCTATGGACCCTAAAGGCTGTACTGAGCTGAACTTGCAATTAGGAACAGCAGAGAATTGAATTAAGCAACAATTTCAAGACTCTAAGATACAAAATCTGGAAGGATAGTCATTTGTTCAGAATGTTCCCAGTACACATACTTCAGTGGTCCCTTTATGTATAGTAAATACAAATCATAATCACATCATTAGGGACAGAAACAGAGACAGAAAGAAAATTGCTATTGCCACCATCAGGTAGCCTGTGCATAGCAAGTATCTACTGAGATCACCACTGTGCTTGCAAATTGAAAAATAGCATGCGATGTCAAACAAGGGAAGGATCTAGAGGCGCGCTCTGGAGGATTCCTGAAATTAGATCATTTGTGAGAAGAACCCCACAGTTGCCGAGTCTCACATTTTACAGGACAATCCTACTATCTTTAGTTATATCCCACCCTCCAAGTGTCCCAATAAATCATTGATTTTACTTTCCCTTAACATTTTTAGCATTTGTAAACCACAATGGCTTCTCTCCTCCTATATGTTACACTGCTCCCTGCCTGCGGTCAAGCTTTCTGCACTTATTTTAACATTTATCTTAGGTTTTCTGCCTTAAAACTATAGTATAAAAAATGGGTCACATGACTATACATTGCATTTACATTTGCGTCGTGCTGTACAATGGCTGGTGGGAGGAGTGAGGTACACGGAGTTCAGAAAGTCCCTATGCTGGAGATATGTCACCACGGACAATCAAGATGGCTGAAAATCATATTGCTATTTTAAAAAATCACCAATCTTCAGGGGGAAATTCTGACATGAAGCAAATCCCTAATCCTCTACCAAGATGGCTGCCTCCATGCAGAGACTGTGTGGAACAAGCCATGGTAGGTCAGTCATGTGGGAAAGATCAGCCTACAAGTAATATTGACCACTAGTCTTTTGTATGTTGCTTAACTTTTATGGGAACAGCTTCCACAGTACAGGTCTTTGTAACATGAATATTTCACTCAGGCTTATGTAACCGTGAACCCTACAAACATTCCTAGCCAGCTGCCAATATTATCAGTGCCAAATCCATGTAGACCCCTGCCAGGTATTGCCTGCACCAGTATCTACTCCAAAACCAACTGTTCTGTGCCAGTGCTAATGGGCAGATACTGGAGGTACCCCTCCCATCCCCTTAAAAAGCATGGAGATATTACGATTTGCTTTGCCTTTATGAAATAAATTATCTGCAGAGAAGAGGTTTAGTCATTTGCAAAGTAACAGAAAAAAAAAGGAACCAGAGAAACCAGTGGAAAAAAAGAGCTAACCCCACATTTCCTGTGTTGACTGGTTCCTGGCATGTGGAATTGTGTTCTATTATTATGCTTTCCCAAGCATTTCTTGAGATAACTGGACAATGCAACAATTACCAACTCAATTATCTTGAGCAAAACTTAGATCAGCAGCACTACTTTGCTAGACTGTACAGGATGCTTTTAGCAGCATTTGTGCAGTACTATGGCAAAAGTAGTTGATGCTCTATGTAGAAGAAATGTTTAAAAAGCTAAGTTTGGCTTTAGGACCATGTTTCAAGTTACAACCATATTCAGTTTGTAACATGAAACATGGTCACATCGCAACTCACCCATCCCCCATTTACCTAAATCGCAGGGTTCTTCTCCACGGAGGCTGCTACAGTTCTCTATGGCTCTGCCACATCGTCCATGCACAGATCCTTTGACAAGATCTGTGAATGGAGAAGCTATAAGTCCCATCAGCCACCACGGCAGAGGGACATGCAGTTCTCAATGGAATACAAGTGTTGTGATGTCACCGCAGTTACAGTCCATTCATTCTTCCTCTCGTCCATGCTACTGAATGTCCATACTGCAGTACAGACAGGGGCAGGAGGAAGAGTCTGCAGAAGCCAGAGCATTGCACTGATTGCAGTTGCAATGCTTTACTGGCTCCAATGCAAAAAAATAATTACTGCAATTTTTGTCTTTTATGAAGAAGTGCGAATTTATTATTTTTTCAAACAAATTGGACTTTACCTTTAACTGGGACTAGAAAATAAAAAGAGTTTGTTCTTACATCCCCCTTGATTAAGGATCTGCTGCTTGTGAGTTACTCTACAAAGTGCATTACCCATCATTTATGGACAAATAAAAGAGCTGCAAGTGTTAAATTTGTAATTCAGTGTTGTTTACTTTTACAGATGATGTCTAGCCTTGGTCCGTTTGGCTTCTGCAAAGTTTGACCTAAAACCATGACAATGTATATATTAGACAACACGCTAACATAGTTACATGAGGACAATGAAATACAATGTAAGTATATGCCTATATCCGAGGAGAATTTCTGTCACTCTGTTGGTGTGTCCCTAAAAATAAACTCCACTATATAGTCACAGCGAAACTCTGGCTCAGGGAGCCATATCTGTATTAGACCTAAGCTGATCTATAACCCTCATTCTGCCTTCCTTACTTGTTAATCTGATATAAAAGCAATGTGACGAATACTGTACTTAATAAGTGACTAAGAGTTAGCATGTGCTTTGACATAAAGTCCTGTGTATATCAATGTGAAAACTATTATCTCCAGCACCCTTTACAGAATTATCACATAACTCCAAACTGCAGAATTTGAAGACATCCAATAGTAGAATCCTACTGTTATACATAAAAACTCCACAATAATATCAAATAATTAGAAATATGACAAAACCAATGTCAGATTATTCTATTTTTATACATAACGAGTTTAGATCTGTGTTAGAATGTAATCTTACAGGAAGTAAATTAGCAGAAGCGAGAAACTGTTCAAACCAATGTAGCTTCCACAAAAAAAAAATAGTGGAATTCAGGGTACTGAAAATACTCCTCCTGCAAAGTCTTACATTTGTTGAGCTTGGAAATAATATCCAGCTGCAGTGCGAAAGCTTATCCTCGGCCAGACTGCTGCAGGAGAGAAAGCTGCACCAATCGCATTGCAGTGGTGCAACATGTCCCCCACTATGTCAGAGGTAGAGCTATTAAATCAAGAGGAAACTCTGATTCAGCTAGGGGTGTGTTGGACCACTGCAGAGAGGTCACTGCTTACACACAAAGAGCAGGATTTGCCAGCCCCAACAAAAAGTAAGATTTTGCTAAATATGTATTTTCAGCACCCTGCATTTAACCATACCGTTTTATTTCAGGGGGGGGGGACTAAAGTTAGGCTTCAACCTGCCAATCGCTGCCAATGCCTTTTTTGCACACATTATAATCCACATTTTAGGCCTAAAAATTACTTCAAACTCCCAAACATTGTATATTTTCTGAAAGAATAAAATGGTGACAATAGCAATTTTTTTATGTCTCACGATATTACCGCAACTCTTTAATCAAACCAAAAAATGTAGTAACAAAATGCACTTGTTAATTTTACTTCACCTGCTTGTGGAAGAGATCTGGTGGCAGCTGGCCGACAGTCTGATTTACACATGTAAACAGAGTGTCAACAGCTATAGCTGCCAGCAGTCTGTTTAAAGGGGTCTGGTGCCAGCGGCAAACATTGGTGGCAGTGAAAGGGTTAATAGGTTGACACCAAAATTACCATACACCTACAACACTTTAGAGTGGGGATATTTTTTATAAATATAAAAGGAAAGTAAAATTATTTGATCGTATTTACAAACTTTTATTCCAGCTGTCATTTATGCTAGAGCCAACAGAGAGCACATAGGAGTTTATTTATAAAACAGCGATTGTGACTTTCACCAAACATTCTCTGAGGCAGAATCAATTACTGTCATTTTAAACACATAGACCTGGAAGATTCATCTGCAGAGAATTCTTTGTTTTATAGATATGCCTGATATTGTTTTGCTACACTGAATATTGCACACTACACACTAGTGAAAACATGTGTACACCGCCACAAATAAAATATGGATTTCTGGGTGGGAAGGCAGAGATGCATCCTGTTTAGATATTTGCTTTTACTAGAGCCTGTGTATAAGGTTTTTGTTATTAAACACAGGGGGAAATCATCAAACTTGGAATCTGGACACAGAATCTGGAGCAGCTGCGCATGCCAACTAGCTTCTACCCCTGTTTGTTTGGTTAAAGTGACACTGAACTCAGGAGTTAAATCTTCAAAATGCATTCAAGTACCTTAACTATTAACATAAATGTATCTTATTTGTGTATCACTCGGCTGTAGATCCTCAAATCATCTCTGAATTGGTGCTGACACTGTCCTTCCTTCTGGAGGGTGGCTACTTCTGTTCCCCATGGTCCCTGTGTGTGTTGTAACGTAGCCACTGCTCCAAGCTCACTCCCATGATGGATTACAATCTCAAAACAAATTAGTAAACTAAACATGAGATTTTAGTCCATCACAGGAGCGAGCTTGGAGCTGTGGTTGCTTTACAACACACAGGAACCATGGAGAACACAAGTAGCAACCCTCCAGAAGGAATGACAGTGTCAGCACAAATCCAGAGATGATTTCAGAATCTACAGCTGAACTCATTTGCCCTGCAGCCACATCACCCCCCCCCC